GTGTGGGGGGGGTGGGGGGGGGTGCCCCCCCTTCAGCCCCTGCTTGCCTGGGGCTGCCTCCTACCTGGGTCTCTTGGGCAGGCAGGCAGCAGCTCCCACGCCCCCCTCCAGCAGAGGGAGCCCCCGCGGCAAGCGGGGATGGGGGCGCAGGGGGAGGAAAGGAGGCGGGGGAGTGAGCGGGGCGTAAGGGTAGGGCCTGGGGGAAGTGGGAGGGGGCAGGGCAGGGGGGCAGGTCTCCGAGGCGAGGCAGTTTTAACGTTTGAATAAGAGGGCCTGTCGTATGGAGCTGAGATAAGCTCCCTGCTAAGCAGCCTCGGGAGACCGTTCCCCTGGGCGAGGAACCCGCCAGGAGCGACGGGGCACTCGCAGCAAGCCAGGCTGTGCTGGTTGGGGACTGGCAGGCTTGGGCCCATGCCCGTTCCCGTTAGCCAACAGCCTGGCCCCTGGCAGTGTGATGCTCTCGCAGGGCTGGGCCTTGCCCGCGGCTGGGGGAGCAAGTGTCTGTGGAGGGGCGGGGGGAGGATATCCAAACCTCGTCTGACCTACACGGGAATCCCTTCCCTTCTCCCTGCTATGGAGACAGGAGCAAGAATTCTAGGCGGGGCGGCGCATTAGGGCTGGTCTGCCGTGCGGCGTTTGCTCCCCCCCTTCGCTTGGACTGGCAGCACAGTGTAGCTGCGTTCCCACCGCGTTCCCAGCTCGAGCCGGCCCCTCAAGCCAGCTAGCTGGCGGTCCAGGCTTTGCCTAGGCGCAGCGAGAGAATTCTGTCTGGGGTCCGGTTACAGGAAACACCCGCTCACAGCTGGCGCTCACCCACGGGGGCAGCCCTGCGCACACCCGCCCAGTTCACAGGCCGTCAGACTGTGCGGTGCGCGCGTTGGGGTGACAGCTCTGAGGGCAGGTAGAGTTACACCGGTGGGGCACTGCACTGACTTAACGAGGCCCGGTTTTCTTAACCGGGCTGCTCCGTCCCACGGCCCCTGAGGCTCAGCGCTTTGCCTCTGACACGAGGCTCTTCACGCTACAGCGCATCTGCAGGCGCGTTTTCTCAGTGCGCGTTTCCAGAGCGCTCCTGGACAGAGCCAGTAAGCGCCCCTAGTGGTGCCAACGCTCCCACTCCCTGCAAAACGCCCAATCAATGCCATTCAAGGCGGCAATATCATGACATCCCTTCTGATAAACAATCCATGAAATGGAAGAGGGAGAAATTATTCATCCAGGTCAGTTCTAAGCCAGGGTTGGGAGGGGAAGGTTCGGAGCTGGTCACAGGACTGTTCATTTAGCGATTTCAATATACACAGGGGGTGGGAACAAAGGCAGCGGATCCAGGAAGCAAGAGAAACCAGTTTACCAATAACGTCATTATTGGTGAACTTGGGAGATGGTCCCAGTCCCGAGAAGCCATGCAGTTCCGGTTCAGCGAGCCCCATGCACAGACCAGAGAGCAAGATGAATTAGTGGTGGCTTGGATGCCCCAGCCAGCTGCTGGAGGTCAGTCGGGGAGGGAGGGGGGAAGGGGTTAGCTTTTCAAGTGCCAGAGAGGGGAGGTATGCATGGGAACTCCAGCTTACCCTGAGAATCCCCCTCACACCTATCCAATATTGCATCACTCGCCTCAAACCGCTGCAAGGACACAATCAGAGGGTTGGGAGAAAAGAAACAAAACCAAGCAGCAACAAGGAGACAAGAACACAACAGAAACACGGTTCAGAGCATTGCGACTGACACGTGAGAAAACAGAACACAGAATATAGTACAGTGCAGAGACACTAGCGCCCCACACCAGCAGGGAGAGAGCTGAGACAAATCCGTCAGCCATTCTCATTTGCCAGGGCCCCTTCTAAAATCCTGGCGTACTGGGGGGGGGGGGGCTGGCACCATTTCCCTTGGGACCCCTTCGAGCATATCAGGAGGGCCACAGATGCTATTGTACAAGTAAAGGAGTCAACGGACATGGAAGAGGGTAACTGACGTAAAGCATCTCGGGAACTATCAAGGGTAGACAGACCCAGTATATACCAACGGAGAGCCAGAATTCCCAGGTTTCCAGCCACATATCGTACGTGTTTCTAGTCCTCATGGGCCACGAGAAAGACCTTGGAATGACAGCCAGTCCCTCAGAGCAGGCAAAGACTCTAAGGTCGCTGGGCTAGTTTGTTTTCCACGATCTGCTATACTTCTATATCAACACCTCCCCGCTATTTGGATGGATCAGGGGATGCCTCAAAACTTCTGCTAGATGTGGGGGGCAATTGTGGGACTTACCTAAGGCTGCAGTATGGAGAAGATCCTGCCAGGTGGGTTACAACAAGACCCCGCGTGGCTTTGACGTCTAAGCTGCAGCCTCAGTGAACAGACGGTCCAAGCCAGCTTTGCAGGCCAGCTTGCACACGGCCTTTAAATTCAGCGGGCGTCCTGCCTGCTGTGCTCCCGGGCGGCCCCAAGGGTTCAGCGGGGACCCTCGGCTCGTTGGGTGGCCCCGACACCGCACGTGGTAGGGGAGCTGTGTTTTCACAGACACTCTTCTTCTAGGCGATCACCCCTCGAAGGGAGCCCCGGTTCGGAGGGGACACAGCCACTGAGAGTTTCAATTGGGCCCCCCAGGCCTTACAATAAAAAGCACTTGAAAGCCCTGCAACTCGGCCCTGGCCTGAACCCCCAGCAGCTTGCCCATCAGCACTGGACTTTGCGCTAACCCTACTGGCAGTGCCTACAGCACAGTGGGCTCCGGCCCCCCGCGCTCACCCCCCAGCACACGAGAGCAACTCGCAAAGCATCAGCGCGGCGACTGGGACTAGCCAACCGCGCCCGCCTCTCCCTGCGGGGGCTCGGCAAAGCTCGAAGGCGTGAACGGCTCGGTTACCTGTGGACATGCTTTCCCCAGGGGACATGTCGTCTAGCAGGGTGTGGTCCATGGACTGCGGGCTAGCGCCGGCCACGCTGGCTGTGGGAGGCTGTGGTGGTGGCAGCGTGGGCCTCTGCCGTGGCTTAGGGGTGGGCCGAGACTTGGTTAAAGTGCTCGTCAGGGCAGAAGGAGAAGACAGGGAAGGAGCAGCAGCGGGGGAGAGCTGGCCGGAGGCCAACGAGTAGCCGTGTGGGTAATTCAGTCCATAGGGTGAAGGGGTGCTCGGAGGGGTGGGAGACAGGCTGACGGGGGATGGCTGTCCCGTGGACTGGTCGGACATACCGCCTGACTGGCCGTAGGGCACCTTGGGAGGGATTGGAGCCAGCTTCTTGGAAACTGTGGAAGATAAAGAGAGAGAGAAAGACGCCATTAAGCAAAGCACAGGGTCAGAGGGTCCTTAGCCCGGAGAATCCCAGGGCGGGCAGAGCCCTCAGGAGTCACCAAGTCCAGCCCCCTGCCCAAAGCAGGACCAACCCAACTCAGTCAGCCCAGCCAGGGCTTTGCTAAGCCAGGACTTCAAAACCTCTAGGGATGGAGATGCCACCCCCTCCCTAGGGAACCCAGCCCAGCGCTTCCCACCCTCTCCAGCCTCTCTCCATCCTCTTTGGAACCTCCCTTCAGGTAGCTGAAGGCTGCTCTCAAATCCCCCCTCACTCTGCTCTTCTGCAGACTAAAGGTCACGTGCTCCAGCCCCCGAATCATTTTGGCTGCCTCCGCTGGCCCCTCTGATGTTACAGCTCCTGCACGGGAGACATTGCACACAACTCCTGGAAGTGACACGTACGGAGCCCGGCCCTGACCTCATCCTGCAGCTCCAGCCTCTCCGGTCGCTCCATGCCCTCGTAAGGGAGCGCTCCACTAGCTAGCAGCAGTAGCAGATCGCTTCTCTTCTCCATGGACCAGACTGTAGAACCCCTCCTCCTTCACACACCCACGGACAGCCTGTTTCGTTAGCGAAGGTCCTCCAAAGGCCAGGCTGACGTCAGTCCCAAAGAGCTATGGCAGGGGAAGGTGGCAGCTGCACGGATCCTTACGTGCCCTCCCATAGTTGTCGTCAGGACGCCGCCGTCCTGGGATCCAAGTGGAGAGCTCGGCCCCTTCCCTTCCACCGAGCTTCTGGGTCGCTTCAAGATGGCACCTGCCTCGCCCACACGGGAAGGGCACAAGGGGCGTGCCCTCACCCAGCCCTAGTGAGACGGGACCGGGCACAGCGGGGACCGCAGAGGATGTGCCCAACACAGCGGAACAAGGGAGCTCAGACGGCCTCTCACAACTGGGTACTCGTGAACGTCGAATTCAAGCCAGCCCAGGAGCAACGGGCTGTGGACGCCAGCCTGCCTCCCACGCCCAGCAGCTCCGCTTCCCAGCACCGTGACTGCATTCCTGGTTGGGAGCCGCTAGCATGGCCTGCTTAGCTCAGTGAGCCGCCACTGCAGGACTCCGGCCAGGCCGGCCCCACAAACTCCGTGGGTCTCGTGGTCTCCGTAGGCTCAGCCCCGCTCTCCAGACAGAGAGGAGCCTCCCAAGCTGGTTTCTGTGGCAGCGGAGACGCGAGGCAGGACGCCGGGGAGGGAGGGCAGAGCTCCGTGGAGCAGGGCGAGGAGGGGGATTTTGTAAAGACACATCGGACATCTTCCAAAGCGCCCAAGTGACTTAGGAGTCACAATCCCATTTTCAAAAGTGATTTAGGCACTTAGGAGCCCTAGCTTCCCTGGAAGGGTTGTCAGAACCTGAGTCTGTCTGGAATACCTCACCTAACTACAGTAAAACTCCATTGGTCCGGCATCCAATGCTCTGGCACTCCTGATGGTCCGGCACCATTGGGAACCCGGAAGTGCTCCGGCTGCCGGACAATTGGAGCTGCTCTGCCCCGGGCCTTCCTGGAGTCAGCCGCTGATCAGTTTCAGCAGCGGGTGAGA